TTTTGAAGTGAAAACTTCTTTAGAATCGTTGTGATTTCAAACCGGATGCAACGGAAAAAACGACAGGTAAGAGACACAAATACAAAAATGTGTAGGATGAAGCCAGCAAAGAATGAGACAGAAATATACATACTATTTAATACAGCGCCATCTGTGAGATTTTTTAATACTAACGTGTGTATGAAAGCTCTTGTAGTGAATTTTAATTTAGGATTATACGTGAAATTAAAATATCAATTCACAGAGGGCGCTACCTTACAATTATTTACTAATGACAAAATTTTACATTTACTTAAGACGTTTAGGATAATTGTATTTTAATTTTGGAAGGTTTCACTTCTACCACCTGTGAATTGCACACATGTATTTTTTTTATTTGACTTTTTATTGATTTAAAAAATTATAGAATATATAAGATACAGATTACACAGAGAAAGACAGAAATCATAAATGGGGACCAGAAATCCTTTTCATTGTGCAAGACTGTATGTGAATATGTTTCAATAAATAAACTAAATTTCAATGTTAAATCTTACTCAGACATAGTATAACTAAATTGTTCAATTTTAACTAGATATTCTACACAACCCTGCATTGGAAAGCTCTAAACATCAAAAGAATCATTTATTGGTTTTGGAGAACCAACTGTTAGAAGCAATGAAATCAAGTGAAGAACTCTGGGGAAATATGAAGACTCATTTTGAAACTAACAGATTCCCGTGGTAAGTATTTGTTTAAAAGAATAATATATAGGTCATTTTATCCTGGTTGACATATAAGTAGACTTACTCAATGCATATATGGTGAACTCTAGAATTTAAAACTGAAATAAGAAATAACTATTTATAACCTTTGTATTGATGTAATCTGTTATTTATCTTTTATTGTTCATTAGGTGAGCGAACAATCTCTTGATCCCAACTTATAACATTACATAACAATCTGTTAAACAGATAGCACAAAACTGTTATTAAATTGGTCATGTGAAAAAACCTCTTGATTTAGTTCATATAGTATTTTTTTAAATCAGTATCGGATATATAGAGTTATATATGACAGTCTAGTTAATAGACTCTAGTATATCGCTATTCATCAGAGGCGGCAAATGATTTCACTGATTCTGGTCTTTCAACCACACTTCTCATACATAGTCAAATGATATTAAAGCAATTTTACCTATAAATCATTTTCGTTTAAAGGTATAAGATTAACAGGTACCACATAAAAACTGTAGTACTCAACAAGCTGAAGACACTTTATGCGGCAGACGATAAGACTGAAAATGTATTGGCTAAGGACCGAATGTCCCAGACGGATTGGATTATATTTGACTTTGCTCTCGTCCATGAGAAAATAGATCTAATTGAAAAAGTAAGTTGGCTGAATATCAAGTACAATAAATACTAAAATAAAAATTTGGAAACTATGCAATAGAACTTCGTGATATCTAATTTACAGGATGGTATGAGATGTCAAACTCAGGATCGTCAGCCGTTGATTGATCTCTTCGAGCTGGTGACGAAGTTTGACATAGAGGACAGGTCCGGAGACAGTCTGGCCGGCGCCTGGACTGCGGCCACCGCCCTCTACAACTCGAGGTAAGCTTAAGGGCGGCCTTCTGTTAAAACGCCTACGAAGTCTGGTCCTAACACTAATGAGCTCCTTCAACGGAAGAGGGACAGAGTCGTTATCGATGTGGTATGTCAATAGCCACCCATCTTGAGACATTAGTTCGCAGTCTCAATTTTATTCTATAGCAGATCGACTGCTCATCCTTCAAACCGGAACGTGTGTTCCTGCTTCGTGGAAAAATAAGCAGGATAGTGTTATCTATTCACGCAAGGTTACGTTAGACCCTATCACCAGTGCATTCTTAATTTTATAAATATTTCTTGATTTTATAATACCAAAATACAGGTATGGCGGTATCTTAACCTTGGGACACATAAGAGTATACCAGTAAAGTACACCATTATATTGTATTTCCTAAAATTAATAGTTCTTTTACAGGGGTCGTCAGTGCTCACCGATGCTACTGCAGAAGCGTTGGTATCAGCTGAAGGAGGTGACCAGGGAATCGCTATATGAGTACTGGTACGCCTCCCGCGAGAACTCTCCTTCGTCGGCCGAGTCTATACAAAGCGCAACCAAATTACAGAGAGCTGTGGCCCAGAAGTAAGTTTACATTTCCACAGGTCTCAAGTTATGTTTGTCATTAAGCTGCAGAAAGAATACCCACCGTTGGGTTTTATTTGTCATACATTGCTGCCTACCGGGGGTCTAAACGAAAGCGACCATCAAGTTAAACTTAAACAAATAGTACGATTAACGTATGTACGTACGCAACTTATTTGTTTAATAAGCGACCGGACTCCAAAAAAGGAATATATAAATTTTAAACGCTAGTGGCGACATCCCTAATTAACGAACTGCCCATCACCCGCGGCTCCGAACTGCCCGCAGACAGTGGCGGAGTGCGGCACTATACGAACATCACAAAGCAGCCAGTGGCTTTCGGTCTGGGGTCGATCCTCCTACGAGATACCCGCGCCTAGGGGGCGCGCGAGGTATGTAGGACTGGTCCATACAGAGAGTTAAGACTAGCATAGGTCATGACTCATAACGGAACGTATGCAAGTTTTTGCAGAGGGTCACCATGTAACGAAGGGACAATGTACTTCGCTTGCAGATCATAGGGTAGAATCGACCAAGTAGAAACGCGGCTCGGTAGCGTACTGACTTAATGTGAGGCCCGAATATCAACCTTCTGTCGAGGGTGACGCTTAGGTGTTTAGCCTTCAAAGCCCACGGCATGGGCTGGCCAAATATTTTAATAGTGGGTATGGAGTTACCGCGCCTAACTCGTGACGAGATACTAGCAGTAGTTCTCTTGGACCCTCCCTCTCGGGTGACCCCTTTTGAAGAACATGGCTGTGCTTTTCGTGGGGTTGATGTCGATGCGTTACTTCCGGAACCACTGTCCGATCGTTGATAGCCGTGATCTGGAGCTTACTATGCATGAACGACATCTTCCTACTAGAGTAGTAGATAGCCGTATTATTCGCGAGAAAGGCTAAGCGGGTCGCCGGCGACCGGCGTAATTCGTTAATAGTAGCGGGTTAGAAAGTAGAGAAAAGAGCCTTTTGGAACTCCGACTGAGATATGTCGTGAGAGAGCAAGTTCCCTCGACTTGGTACCGAAACGAACGGTTCGACAAGAAGTCTCGTATGATGAGCACAAGACTATGCTATCATCATCTCAGGCCTTACAGCCCAGGATGAGCCTTAGCCTGGTCCAGTATATCTCTTCAGACTGCTCTGTTCAGGGCTTTCTCCTTCCAGTTCCTGACACCGATAACTTTGACGTCCATGTTATGCAGTTTGTAAATTAAACCGTTGTGCCAGACTTTGTTGAACGCTTTCGCGATATCGGAGAAGAGAGCTTCCGTGGGGAAGGATTTACGTATATTTAGCCTTACTAAGATGTGCTCCCTAAGACTTGCTGAATGAAAGAGTGCTCCGCGCGGAAGCTGAACTGTTCGTCGATCAGGATGCCTTTCGAGGTGATGAAGTCCCAGAGGCGTTTGCATAATAGTCGCTTGTATAACTTGCCTATCATTGGCAAGGGGCGAAGATCGGGCGGTAGCTTGTGGGCTCATTTTTAGGTTTTTCAGCTTTGTGTATGCCGTAACGTTTAAAACGGAGACCAACATGATTATTAGTTGGGCGGGTAAAATTTTAAACCGTGGTTATGGATTCCGTCGGATCCGGGCGCTTCCCGTGGTTGTAAGTTCGCGATTCCTAACTCTATTTCGTCAATGTTAATGGGGGGTAACGCGTCCGCGGGTGGCTGGGAAGCTCTGCGCTCGACATCCCTGATGACTAACTCGNGTCCAGGCGTGAAATACCGCTTCGCTCTGTTGAGAACTCCCAACATTTTAGAGGCCAATTTGGCTTTACCTTCCAAATGACTCCGAAACTGGACATCGCTCGAAATATCGACCCCCAGAATCCCGATACTCGCGGAAAGCTGCAGGGATACTCCTTGAAATTCCGGCGCCATGACAAAAGGGTCCTTCTTCGCAGTGAATGCGCAAACCTGTGTCTTCAATGGGTTCATGTTATGCAGTTTGTAAATTAAACCGTTGTGCCAGACTTTGTTGAACGCTTTCGCGATATCGGAGAAGAGAGCTTCCGTGGGGAAGGATTTACGTATATTTAGCCTTACTAAGATGTGCTCCCTAAGACTTGCTGAATGAAAGAGTGCTCCGCGCGGAAGCTGAACTGTTCGTCGATCAGGATGCCTTTCGAGGTGATGAAGTCCCAGAGGCGTTTGCATAATAGTCGCTTGTATAACTTGCCTATCATTGGCAAGGGGCGAAGATCGGGCGGTAGCTTGTGGGCTCATTTTTAGGTTTTTCAGCTTTGTGTATGCCGTAACGTTTAAAACGGAGACCAACATGATTATTAGTTGGGCGGGTAAAATTTTAAACCGTGGTTATGGATTCCGTCGGATCCGGGCGCTTCCCGTGGTTGTAAGTTCGCGATTCCTAACTCTATTTCGTCAATGTTAATGGGGGGTAACGCGTCCGCGGGTGGCTGGGAAGCTCTGCGCTCGACCTCCCTGATGACTAACTCGGTCTGTTCCGGGTTCACGCGTTTGAGTATTGGTGGTGCACTGTTCTTGCAATGCATCGGCCAACAACTCTGCCTTTTCATCGTTATACGGCACCTTTGAAAGCTTTACGCGCGCCGCGTTCAGAAGTAGGTCCTGTTTAAACAAATACCGTCAACGGTTCTCCTTAGTTGCTCTTTCATAACCGCAGTATATATGCCGCGGCATCCTGGCAAGACATCTAACTATTCATTGTGTATTAGTACTAGGGGGGATTAAAAAGTAGTGAGAATGAGATAGAATATGATGACTATTGATAACTTAATAATTTATTTTTCTACATAGTCTCCGAGTCATCTACACAGCGAGTCAGCGCTTTTCAAAGGCTTCTATCCCTTTCAAAAAAAAGCTTTGGTCTTGGCCTTGCAAAAAGTTCTCCTCTCCATCCATCACCTCGTTATCGTCGTCGTACCTGTTTCCCCTTAAGTATTCTTTCAATTAGAGGAAAAGATAAAAATTGCTAGGCGCCAGATCTGGTGAATAAGGGGGTTGATCAACCAATTCGAAGCCAGCTTGCTGAATGGCAGCCATCACAACTGCCGACATGTACTCGGGTGCGTTGTCGTGATGAAACAGCACGCCCCTTCGAAGTTTCCCTCTCCTTTTCTCTTTGATGGCATTCCTCAACTTGGTAATTAAAGCCGCATAATATTGACTTGTAATAGTGGTTCCACGCTCCGAGTAAGCAATCAACAATATCCCTCCTGAGTCCCAAGATATTGAGGCCATAACGTTGCCAGCCGATGCCACGGCATGAATCTTCTTCGGGGTCGGTCATGGTGGCCGTTTCCATTGCGTAGATTGCTGTTTTGTCTCGGGATCAAAACGATGGACCCATGTTTCGTCCATTGTTACGAAATGAAACGAAAAGTTTCCAGAATCTTCTTGAAACTTGTCTACCAATATCTTCGAAATGTCAAGTCGATTTTGTGTCCGACTGTCGGTTAACATTCTCGGCACCCATCTTACGGAGACTTTTCTCATATGCAAAGATTGTTTCAATATGTATTTAATACTTTCATATGAAATGCCCGTTTCTTGAATTAAGTATCGGATGGTAAACTCTTCGATCGCTCAATACAATTTTCTCGAATTTCGCAACATTTTCTTGGGTAACTGACGTCGATGGACGGTTGCAACGACGTTCGTCTTCCGTGCTCGTTCTCCTTACTCGAAATTGGCGAAGAAGGCCACCTTGCAATAGTGGAATACGGAGGAGCAGAATCTCCTAATGTTGCCTCCAAATCGCAATGAATCTCTTGCGTCGTTAACTTTTTTATTATTACTGGTATTACTGGTAATACTGGCATTACTTGTAATAATGGCACCATTATTACTGGTGGTAGGACCGCCTGTAAGTCCGCGCGGGTAGGTACCACCGCCCTGCCTATTTCTGCCGTGAAGCAGTAATGCGTTTCGGTTTGAAGGGTGGGGCACCCGTTTTAACTATACTGAGACCTTAGAACTTTTATCTCAAGGTGGGTGGCGCATTTACGTTGTAGATGTCTATAGGTATATATTTGTATGAAAAAATAAAGACAAAGATCAAACAAGGACTAAATAGGATAAAAGGATAGGTTTACTCTATCGGTAAAACAGGTCGTGTTTTATGCTAAAGGTTGGTCCAAAGTTAATGGTCACAATTTTTTTTCTAAACGGTTATTTGTGAACTTCATCATTATACATTTATATTATATTTTTAGATTCAAATATTAAAATTCAGTATAATTTAAATTTAATTGAAAAACAGTATAAATAAATAAACAAAAAAAACTCGCCTTTAAAAGAGTACTTTCCTATCGAAAACAGTACGAATGGTCATTATATTATTATGTATTAGTTATCATCTATAGCTACCTCTTACATTTTGACCCTAAACGACGTCATTCCTAAAGTGTCGTTTGGCATTGCCGATGCTCACCAGCGGGAGTGGCTGTTCAAGATGATATCGGTTCGTTTATCTCAACATAAAGAGCGAATCAATGGAATGTTCTATTCCAGATACCCGTCAATAATAACGAGTGCATTTCCGGAATGGCGAGAACTGATCGAGAAAAGACTTGTCATAATGTCTGAAGACTTCGTAAGTCTTAAATCATAGTACCTTATGAATTGAATGCGTATGATTTTGTTTCTTCTTTCCATCTGCGATCATTCTGTAGTATATATCAGAATCTTTATCTTTCATTCCATTCGATTGACTTATTTTTATTGGCTTTGTAGGCGGGCTTGCGTACGGCTCATCTGATGGTAAGTAGTCACCGTTGCTCATGGACATCAGCAATGCCAGGAGCACAGCCAAGTCGCTGACTGCTGAAGACTCCGTAAGCCACATGATGTTGAAGACGCCTTCTGCATGCTGTATACTTGTGTACTTGTATACTTGTCACGTTTGAAGGTGCACCGCAATTTGAAGTAAAGAAATTCCATTTCATTTATGTTATTTATTCACCATGTTCTCTACCGATACCATTTTTATATAGTTAAGTAATGTATCAAGTAGATCTAAGTAATCTAAAATAGTACGTTTTATTTAGTGAAACGTCTATATTGACTGGGGTGTATACAGCGTGTGCCACAATGGGATAGTCAAGCAAAAACCTGGCTGTGGTATCAACAATGTAGATCACATTAAAAATGTTTAAAAAAATCAAAGATGTAATTTGACATAAAAAATAATTTAGTAATTATTTAAAGTATTCGATGACAGCCCTGAATTTTTACACAATAAAAATACTGTTTAGCCGTTCTGCAATTAAATGCATCAGAACGAGATAGACAATAACGAATTCGTTCAACTCATTTCAAACAATTAATACGTCAAAAAAATGCAACCGTATCACTAGGTGCATAAGGTTCAAAAACTCAAAAGAAATTTTTAACTCGCCGTGCGAATGTTACTAAATATCATCCTTATTGAAAAGACAAAATAAGCTGTTTGGCGTGGCGGTGTCTTAATGTGTGTATTTTTATAGTACATATTTCCATCGGCTGACATCACACGCATGGTTCAAATGTTTGAGTTCAAAGAACCTACTATAGGCTGGCCGAATTATCGCGTTTACACTTTTTTTTCGTATTACTTCTGCCTTCCGAAAACAAGATATTAGAATTTCTGGGATTCTTACAATTTTTATTTATTAATAGATGTTATCAATTATGTTTTAAAAATTACATCTCTTGATATAAGGCCGCCCTTATTTTTAATACGACTCATATAACGGCACCTGACGTAAAACATAATTCTAGGGTCATCAGAAGAATAGTTAGTTCGTTGTGTTCAAATATTATTTAATATGAAACTATTTTCATTACTACTGACCTTTTTTTTTAATGGTGGAATCGATTATCCTAATAGAACACAGTTTTCAGTTTTAGACTTGATATTATGCTCTTTGTGGGACACCCTGTACAGTATTAGTAGAAAATAGTGCAGATTTCATCAGTTTAAATTTAATTCACAGGAAAAGGAGAATTGGATGAACAACGTGGAAGCTTCTATAGACACTGGCAAGTTTATTGATTTTCTTAGACTTTAATGTTTACGTAATAACAGTAACTATAGTGACGACGAGAGAGAGAGAGAGAGAGAGAGAGTAGTAAAAACCACAAAATGTTATTTAAATTACGAGATCCGATTACAAGATTCAAGAACATTCAAGTAGATAATTAAAATTAAATTTTGCACAATGTATTTATGAATAGAGGAGGTAGATATCGGATAATTTACCTAAGGCTGGGAATAAAAATCCGTATCATCTACACTTGCGAGCAAAAGTTTGGAATCACTTACTCGAAATTGGTTCCGCGCGATCTTGTGTACTAAATTTTTTTTTAATAATTATAAAAATGACACCATTTTATAGGTTCAAGTCTTAACTTTAAACTGATACCAATTTCATTAAAATCAAGCCAGTATTTAAGAATCTATCCCGGATTAAGTGAAGGAATAACGAAAAAGACGTGTTTCAATTATTTGATACGTCGCGAGTTGCGATCTATTGACCCCTATAAAAGCACCTGTTGTCGGATTTTCTTTATCAGTCGACTTTCACCTGTTGACCGGTACACATCTCCGCTACTTTTGACCCTTTACCTTGTACGACAATGGAGACAACACCTACAAAAGCAGCTGAAATCGTAGCCCTATTGCAAGAAGGGCTCAGCCAGCGGGCTGTCGCTCGTCGGCTCCACATAAGCCAGTCCTGTGTTTCGAAAGCTTACAAGCGTTTTTGGGAGACTGGTGGCTTTATTCCGAGACCAAGATCTGGACGGCGCCGGTGCACATCGGAGAGGGATGACCGTTTTATCATGTCAACCTCTTTCCAAAATCGGCATTTACCTGGTGTCGACGTCCAATAGGAGCTCCGAGATGTTCGTGGGGAAGCAGCCAGCGAGTGAACAGTTTGTCGACGACTCAAGCAACTGGATCCGACTCCAAAAAGGCCTGCCACAGCCCCGTTGGTAGCTCACCAACAAGCATGCCTTCAATTTGCTCGCACCCATCTTGATTGGGAAGTTGAGCAATGGAGGCAAGTCCTGTTCTCCGAGGAGAGCAGGATGTGTTTACACGGTAGTGACCGAAGAGGTCAGGTCTACCGGCGGCCTAGGGATTGATTTGCGCAGTGCTGTTTCACTGAAGCAGTGGCTTATGGGAGCAGCTCTAGTATGATGTGGGCCGGCATTTCCTTCGACCGTAAAACCGAGCTTGTTTTCGTGCCTGGCGGGGGATGAGGAGGCCGTCTAACTTCGGACCGGTACATTTCCGATATTCTGCTGAAGCATGTCGTTCCCTATGCGGGATATATCGGTGATGACTTCCACCTTATGCACGATAACACTCGTTGTCACAGTGCCCGTGTAACAACTGAATACCTCAAAGAAGTCGGTATCGCTACATTGGACTGGCCAGCACTCAGCCCTGACTTGAATCCCATTGAGCACGCGTGGAATTAATTGAAGAGGAAGGTTCGTGCCAGAACTTCTGCTCCTTCATGTCTGAATAAGCTGAAATCGGCGTTGATTGAGGAGCGGGAAGGTATCCCACAAGAATCAATTCAGAAGCTGATCAGGTCTTTGAATTATGGTCTTCGAGCAGTTAATAGGGCGAGGGGAGGGAACACAAACTACTGATACTTAATTTTAAGGCTAAATAAAAAAAATATTTACTAATTTTTGTTATTTTATTCATTCATTATTTTTCCATATTTCCTTGTTTTCCTACCTCCTTCACTTAATCCGGGATAGCTCCTTAACTTCTGGCTTGATTAGAATGAATTTGGTATCAATTTAAAGTTGACAGTTGAACCTTTAAAGTGATGTAATTTATGATAATTAAGAATTTATTTAGTAAGCAAGATCGAATGGAACCCATTTCAAGTAAGTGATTCCAAACTTTTGCTCGCGTGTATAGTTCGACTTTATGTGTGTAATAATTTGAATCATTTTTATTTCACAAAAATTGATCTCCGTAAACGTATATAAAATATTTTAAAAAATATCGTAAAGATCCCAAGAACTTCTGATTGCTTTCGGAACTCTGAAGTTATACGAAAACGCAGTAAACGCGATAGTGTCGCCGGCCTAACTGATTTGGGAGACTTCAAAAAGATCACGTGATCTGATCGAAATACAAACGCATAAGAACGCCCCGCCAGTGCGGCAATATTGCTCTGACAATATTGACTTATCAAAAGGCTTCTTTTGTTTTTACAATAAAGGTGAAATTGAGTAACAAAGTTGGAAATTTGTCTTCGAGTTTTTAAACTGTATGGACTAGTCAACTAGCGTAGTTAAATATCCACGTTCAGTAGCACTAAATATTTTTGTCTAATGGGAATGGGATTTTAAATTTCGCTTAAACAAAAAATTAGGACAGGCGAATTAGTTTCAAACTCAGGATGTGTGCAGCAATGGTCATTAAACTGCACGGTACTGTAACAGTCTACACTCTAGTAAACAATAATACTTAAAAACATTAGTAAAACACTAATGACTACTAACATTAATGACTACATTAAATTCTAAGTTGAAATATCATCTGACATGGTAATTAACTCTTCCAGAATCTCAACCAGACTTAGAAGTCATTGAACCTTTCATAGAAACGATAGATGTGGACCAAGATTTGGACAACGAAACAACGAAGCTCGGGAGAAGAAGCGAAGAGAACACTGAAACCAATGGAATGATGATTATTGAAATAAAATCCGAACCTAGAGATTTTGAAGATCTGGCTGACCCATTACAAACTATTAAAATACCATTACTTTTACACACCGGGAAAACAGAACAATTGATCAAAAATGAAACATGCAATACTGATTTTGGTGAAGATGTGGTGAAGACTGAAAAAAATCAAAATATTTCCCCAACTCTTGATTACCTTCGCGAAACAGTCGAAAATTCAAATGAAATAGTTCCGAAAATTGTCTGTGTTTACGGCAACGTGCATGATACCCATGATAGTAAAGATCTAACATCTACAAAAGTATGTGAAGATGAACCAATGATTGTAGAAGAAACTAAATGTCATCGAGATGACACCAACAATGTGTCTAATGCAGAAGATATACAAGAAAAAGTCTTGCAAGAGACAAATATAATATTAAAGTCTGAAATGGAAGAACAATTGCATTTGAATATTTTTGATAACGTAATAGAATTTGCTGATAACAAAGTCCAGTCTATTGAAAATGATCATGTAAATACAGGTGAGTTTTAATTTACAACACTTCTAGTAAATGAAAAATTTGATTTTATTTTACAAATTAGTTACATTTCTGCGATTCTAACATTTATATATGACTCAGTATAATAGATTTACCAGATAATTATGATATTAAGATATTGAAAAGAGTTTTTTTTTAATAATTTCAATGTATTCCTCAGCATATTGCATAATGTAACGGCAGTCTTTCAGTTAATAATTATTTACTATTGCAGTGCACGTTATTCAGACCAAAAACGATTTCACTTTACAAAGTCGGTTAAGTTGTGAATATGGAAATAGTGCATCGACTTCTGAATTAAAATGTCTCTTTGATTTGAAAGAAGATGCAATGAAAATGTCAAAAAACAAGCTGCAGGGTTGTAACTTAAAAGACAGTTTAAAACAACTGAACATTTCGGAAATACAAACTGATGTTAATAAGATTACGAATCGAATTAATTCTGACATCAGTAATACAATGAACAACACTTTGTTCTTAGAAAGTAAATCCGGTGCACAAAGTGAAACTAGAACAGACGATAGTATGAAAGTGAAAATGTCTAGTTACTTATTTCATAAACCCCGAAATCGTTCGTATGATCCTACACAGCTTTGCAAGAATCCGGACTTTAACAAGAAGTTAAAAAGATTAACGGATGCATTCTTAAGTTCGCCGCGTAACAGGGTACTGCTCAATGCTTGCAGGCCGATCACTGTTGATGTAATGAAGGCGATTGAATCCAAACTGTTCAACGGTACAGTGTACTTGAAGGACTGCGACCAACTGAACTCGAATGTTCCAGACCGCGGCGCCGTTAGCGACACTGCGACGCGAGTTCCTTCAACAATCGCTTCCCGGAGCTCTACAAATATTCGTTTAGTCAATCCTGATCATTTAATGTCGCTATCGAAATGTTACACATCGAATTTAACACAAGAAAGTTGTGGTGATGCGATGGAAATAAACAGGAAGATCAATCAACCAGATATAACAGAAGTTCCTTGCTCAAATCAAAGTTGGCTGACAATTGAAGTACCTCCCCTGACCGTGCGAACTAATAATGAAAGTATAGCTGCAAATCCAGAACTCAATTCAAACCTATCATGTACAGAAAAAGGAACTGGTATTTCGTCCAAAAAGAAACCAAGAAAAGAACTTTCAGTTGTGAATGATTGTATTCTTACCCACGACATCCTCAACAAAATGTAGTAAAAATGGATGAAGAAGAACGTTTTTATAATCCTTCCAGAGTAACTTTTGGTGCATCGTCTCGGATACTGAAGCCAAGCACAAAACAAGTAATCCCAGTGATGAAATCAAAATCCGTCCCTGTAGGTCTCCTGCACAAAATACAACAAAAATGGTGTCAGCTGTCGAACTGTTGAGTGAGCGAAATTATTCCGCTGCGAGTGACAGCCCTATCATGGCAAACAACATCGTAATCGACAGTGAAAGTAAAATCGTTGAACCGGTATTCGCACTGGAACAATACCAGACCGACAAACATGAAATTATAAATACGACATCTAATGCAAAGACTCTAGTGATAGAGCCAATTTTCAATCATGTTACCGAAAAATCTAAAAAACTTATGTTTTTGGCGTCGCTTGCGTCTCAACAAACGTTAGATAAACGGAAAGAAATAGATAAATCTCCTTAGTTTATCATTGAAAACAACCACGACAGCCCCGGAAGGATAGTAAAACGTGAAGCAATCTCAAAACCTAATAAAAGTATTAATAATGCAAACCCTTCCCACACTAGAAGCATATTGGGTCACACACGTAACACACACAAAAAAAATCAATGGGTTGGTTGACCACGTTAAACTTTCTATCAGCTTTTTTGACGTTACTGGGGCCAGTTTCTTCTAATATGTTTAAATTATTATCCAGATTTTTTTCTGTATTACTCTCATTGTCACATTCATTTGTGTTATCAGGATATTCTGATTCTTCTGTCAAGATTGTTTTCTACACTTCTTCCAGGAATAACATTTTTTTTTTTTTTTGTAGGTTGTTTTAAAACTTCCTGTGTCATACCTCATTGCATAGAAAGAACCGTTTGATCAATTACTTCTTTGAAGTTTTAATTTCTAGCTTCTAGATTTGTGCTTGGCAATCTATCTAAAACCTTATTTCTATTTACCGAACTTATGCCGCACTTTTCAAAACCTAGCTGTATTTTTTTTACTGACGTTTGATTCTATTTCTTTCATAAGTTGTTTAAGAAGCGACGGAAATATGTTTTTGAGTATAGTAGCTTGCATTCTCCCGTCGGTCTTTTTCCAATTATAAAGTATGTGCTGCCTAGCACTTTTCAACGGCCTGAAGAAAGCTACGTCTAATGGTTGAGTAAGGTGCTTAGAGTTGGCAGGTAAAAAATGAACCTAATATTACGTGTTTCACATTCCTTTATTATTTCTATTGAAAGGTGAGAGGCGAGATTATCGCCTACAAGAATTTTTGTGCCAGTTTTAAAAATCGAATACAATAGTCCTCCCTAGTCTTCAAATGTTAATCCATCAAACCAACTAGATCTGGTACTATTATAAAGAGAATCTTATGGCCCATTTTCTTTCCACGTTATGCCTTATTTACCTCTAATGGCAGCAAGGACATCAACCGAGTTAGTTTCGTCATAGTTGACGATGTTATCTCAAGGAATTCCTTGTAGTGTGGTACTTCTAGTTCATCGAAATATGCCTTTATCATCTCTGGCGAGACTGCTGCTCTTGACCGTTTTATATTTTGGCTTAATCTACCGGTAATTGTAAGTTTATGTCGTTTCCAAAAAAATTTTGTGTAGGCAGGGCCAGGCGTAACATTTTTGAATCTTTTTATCACTACTCCTACATTGTCTATGTATCCCTTTATTAATAATCTAAAGTCTATTGTTTCAAAGAGATATCCCCATTCAGAACACACCTTTGTATATTGTATTAGGTATTCCCATACATCCGGAGCTAATGCTGCTTGGCCACCTTGCTTTTTCATGACATAAGTATTGTGTCTATGAAGGACTGATTTAGAGATTTTATATTTTTATGCAATATCTATTAACGATTAATTAGTTCTCTCCAATAGAGCAAATGGCGTGCTCTTTCAAGCAGCTCTGAATTCCAAGCTGACCTTGGTCTATGTTTTTTAGCATCTAAGCTACTTGTGTTTTGGGCACTACAATTTTGTGACCTCTGACATATTATTTTTGAATATTTTTATCACTACTCCTAAGTTGTCTAAGTATCCCTTTATTAATAATCTAAAGTCTATTGTTTCAAGGGGATATCCCCATTCAGAACACACATATTTTGTATATTGTATTAGGTATTCTCCTACATCCGTAGCTAATGCTGCATGGCCACCTTGCTTTTTCATGACATAAGTATTGTGTCTATGAAGGAATAATTTGGAGATTTTATATTTTTGTGCAATATCTATTAACGATTGATTATTCCTATCCAATAGAGCAATTGGCGTGCTCTTTTCAAGCAGCTCTGAATTCCAAGCTGACCTTGGTTTATGTTTTTTAGCATCTGGGGTACTTGTGTTTTGGGCACTACAATTTTGTGACCTCTGAAAATTAGACCTTTGAAGTAATTGAATGAATGAATGAAATTGAATAGAAACAAATCTTTTGGTTTTATTCCTAATACTCGTCAGTTTTGAAGTGTCATAATCACGGCTTAAAAAGTCTGCTAATGGTATTTATATGATTTTGTTAAATGTAATTTTTGGTGAATACGGTGTTAGGTTGAGAATTATACGTTGAAGTCTAGCTTGGGCTGACTGTATTTTTTTTCTGAATATTGTCTCGAGCGGCTTGTGATTTGATTCGACTAATAATTATTTGCTATAGACCTACTCATGGAACTTTTTGCACCCAAATAGTATATAGCAAATACTTCCTTCATAATGTGAGCATAATTTTGTTCAGATTTAGTCAATGTTCTGGCTCCATAAGCTGCCTTTCCTGAAGGAATGCTGCACCAAGATTCTTTAAACTTGCATCCACTCTTAGTGTGACTCGTTTGTTTAAATCATATAATTTTAACACTGATGGATTCTGTAAAACTTTTTTAATTTTATTGAGTGCTTCATCTTAATAGAATTCCCAGTTGAAACTTGTGACTTAAAAGATGCATTTACTTTGATTAAGTTTGAAACCAGAAAATGTCAATGTCTCTTATTATTTCTTTGACCGTTTTCTGTGGCTCTTCCTCCTCTTTGGCATGAATAAAGATATCCTCGATTGATACTCTTACATTTTTGAATGTGCTAAGAAGATTAGCCAAGATTCCTTGAAAACTTTCAGGTGCTGACGATACTCCAAACGAGTCTTTTGAATGATTATCTTTCCCATTCAGATGTAGAAAAGGTATATAAAAGGCAGTATCTTTTGTGTTATTTTTGATAATTTAACTTGCCAAAATCTTTTAGTGCCGTGCTGATCCTTTGACGTCAGCTGCTATCTCTTCTATTGTTGAAAGTGGGAAATGTATTCTTAAAATATTTTTGTTCACATCTGATGGGTCTATGCATATTCTCAATATTCATTTTTGTCTGATCACCACCATTGGACTCACTGCTGGTGTCGGTTCTGTTTCAGGTTTGATGACATCCAGTTTTACCATTCTATCTAATTCTTGTTTTACTTCATTTCTTATGCCGTGTGGAACATTTCTTATCGGTTTAATTTCAAATTTAGGGTTTTCTATGAGGTCAATATCATACTCAAAATTTTTGTACCAACGTACCCTTTTAAATATGTCATCATTGGTTGAACTTTCTTTCAATGTTTCAACCCGTGCGACTAATCCCAACTTCTCACAACTGTTTAGTCCTAAGACTGGTGTGACTCTTTCAGCTACAACTTTAAATAGTATTTTAACAGTTTTCCCTTTTATTTTGTATTGTAACTTCACTTCCCCAAGTAGGTACTAACATTCTGTTATTTGAGAAACTTATTAAATTTTGAATGCAACTTGGTTGTGTACAAACTTGAGTTTTCTGTACTATGAATTTTGGAAGGACGTTGCACTCTGCACCATTATCAAGCTTTGCTGTAAATTTGGTGTTACCAGTTTGGACACTTTCGGCATCTTTGGAGTTGCCAACACTTAATTATCCTATAAAGAGTAGAATTTTCTTCTAAAGTATTTATTTTATTTTTTCGTGTCGTTCAAATATTTATTTACAATAACCCTAAAATCAAACATACTTATTGGTATTCCAATATCATTTCTACCACTACACCATCAAGTGGAGAAAAACGATGTATAATATAATAATTGTAACCTAAACTATGCCTTTTCCCCAAGCAATAAAGTGCAGTTTAGATTATTTTAACATTCACTTACGACCTTACGCCATGAATGACAGAAAAAGATAGTCTTTTACAATAACTTTTATTCCAAATTTAACCTTATCTCCTTAAAAATAAATCAAAAATTTACACGCATAGCATTTTACTTACGCCCTTTTAAACTTACGATATTAAGACTACTGCTCCGAACAGAGTATTACGGAG